ATGAAAAATCCAAAAAAATCTGAAAAAGTGAATCGGAATTAAATTTGTTGATTTGAACTAAAACTATGGCCGTGAGTGATTAAATTGCATCAAACACCTTGAAGTACATTGAATTGTTTTTACTGAAAACTAGAGCATGAGCATTCAGTATCAAGAAAATTACTTTACTATTAGAAGACATCATACCTTGTAGCTAGGGAAGCATCACAGTTTTGTTCCAACAGAAATAACGCTGAAAATGCATCTTCTTTTTTGATTGCTCTATGTAACAGAGTGTCACCATTGTTGTCACGTATATTAATATCCGCATTGTGTTGAAGAAGGTTGGATGCTATACTTTCATTACGGCCACGAAGAGCCAGATCCAGTGGCAACTCACCATTGGAATTCCATACATTGACAATATCGGTTAACTGCAAAAAAAAAAACAAATTCATCTATACTGACTGCAGGTTAATCGAGAAAGTGGAATATATTTTTTTCTACGGCTATAACACAAAACTGCTCTTGTTTTACTGTTTTTGATAAATCATAGAGGTACATTGTATGTCTTCAATTCCATTCCCTTATCTGATAACACAATGACTTCATTGTGTTATTTCACATTAAATGTCACCTCCTATGAAATGTCAACTATCAAGCAATGACAGCTCTGTCTAATAGAGCATTATTCAAGAGAAAATCAGATGACTACAAGTAGAAGAAATAAAAAACTTCGCTATTATCTGTTACAGTCGTAGAAAAAGTATAGTGTATAACTCGCACGGAATGCTAATTAGGCGAATGCTGCAAACTTCATTCTCGTGGGATCTCTCCCAATCTCTATAAATAACAATATTAGTATTAATATACCTCTAGTAGGAAATGGAATGATATCGAAATCATAAGAAAAACCAAAAAGGAAAAACCAGATAATCGGCTAGCATTCAAATGGTGATAATAACATTGCTTCCTGTTCAGTTGATATAGATAGAACATGGTATTCACTCATATAAAATCCGATTAGGAAAATGGTAAATTCAAGATCGAATAGAAGAACACCTTGTAACTCACATATTTTTCTGACAACTTCTGTTACTGAGACGTGTCAAAACAAAAAAAAGCAATACTTCATTACCAAGAACGGGAGCATACTGGTTCTCGAAACGACCAAAGATTAGTAAAATTTCCTAATTTTTTAGTACACCTATATTATATTCTACTTCTCCAAACATTTATCAAACAAGGTGTCACTAGTGAGCAAGTGGAATATTGTGGCAAATCAATCGATATGTCCTCTCACTTCTCACTATATTGAAATAATGTTCTATTGTTACGTTATTTGTGTACAGAAGCAAACACGACACTATTTATTTTCGAACTGATGACATAACTGTCAAGAATTATAATTCAGACTGTTTGTCCAAACTTTTTTGATGTACTATATGGCAGTAGGTAAAGTATAGTACGTAATGCGTGTTGTGAAGCAATTACGCACTCATGGAATTAAGCACTCGCCGCTCCACGGCTGCGTGCGTAACTTTTCCATTCGTGCGTAATTATATGCTTCTTTCAGCACATATTACGTAATATACTATCATATCACGCGGCATATGACTGTCTCTCTGTCACTCGCTGCTTGTCTGACTGACGGCAGCTGTCCGGCCGTCCTTATATATCAGATCCCTTGGCAGGCTTTGCTTCTCGAACGTTCTCGAATGATCTTCCGTACCCTTCTTTTGTTCTAGAAGCTTCTAGAACAATAGCTCTCTCTCTCTCTGTTTTTAATTGTTCCACCGATTGTTTGGAGGTTATGTGTCGCCGTGACACATATTGGGTGTTTGGAGATACGCTGGTACATGTTAGAATCAATGGGATGTTCGAGAGTGATCCAGGACGCGTGTTACTGGGTGATCGTTGTACTCCTGCCTTCCTGATGATGTTCTATAGCCCCTTTGAGGGGAATACCATTAAAATATTTTCATTTATGGAGACGAGGAAATGAAACCCCAAAAATCTAGAGAAATATGAAAGATCGTCCATGAATAAAAATTAAGACTTACTAGCATTATGTCGTCAACGTCGAATTATGTCGAACAACTCTTTTCCAAACCTCGTTTGTTTATAGAACGGCAAAGCTTTGGAATTCTTTGCCAAAGGAAGTATGTCCAAGAACTTATGACCTCCAAAAGTTGAAAAAGAAATGCCAATACCTACCCTCTCTCCCTATCCTCCCTAGGTACGCACGATGTTCCTCGAACATCATAAGGATTCCCTTTCGTGTGCACCAAGAGAAATGTTTGCATTTCAAGTTCGTGATAAATAAAACTCACACTTATGTTTCTGAAACCATTTGAAAACATAATATTCATTGAAGAATACAGTTTTCAATCTACATCAATTATTTTCCATCTCGAGCCTCGGACCACATCAATGTTGAGTTTGTTGAAAAACAAAATGTCTTTAAGGTACAAGTAAACCCACCAAAAAAAAAAACGGTATATTCAAAGAGCATGAAAAAAATCTGGGATGTTGAAAATGGCAATTTCAATCTATTCTGAGATTTTGAAAGAAATCTGTCGACTGGTTTTTTCGAAAAAAATTATAAACACCAATTTTTCGACTTTTCTCAAAAACTGATCGACAGATTTTCTTCAAAATCTTGAGAAAGTTTGATATTGCCATTTTGAATAATCCAGATTTTTTTCATAATTTTTGAATTCACAGATTTTTCACTATGATGAAAAACTTATAAAAACTTGTCATAATATCAACACCAGCGAAAAAGTTTGCTTTACTTTGATTGATTATACAATATTGAACATATGAGAACAATTAAAATCACTTTGCAGACGTGGAAAATATTTAATTATATTTTTAAACTCGACTTGTATGAATTCAGACAGAAATTCTCATAAATCTAGATAATGCTCCAGGACGTGGTGCCTCTGCTGGAAATAGTTATAATCATTTAGGATGTGATTTCAACATAAGATAGTATCGCTACTCGCCACTGGGGATCGCAACAAATGCATGTCGTTCTGGTGCTATTTAGATACAGTGTTGCCAACATTTCTAGAGAGAGATGACCGATATTGGTGAACCGATTTGTTTCTAGGAATTATTGTGCGACTATCTAGGCATTTGTAGTTTCAATTGTGGAATCTGGGAAAGTTATTTGGAAAATGGAGGGATAATAAATAATGTCTCGTTGAATATCTGAATTGATACGTAAAAATATACATACTTATTCGAATATTTGCACAATATGGACTTTCAAATGAACTGGATAGGTAGGTAATACCTCTAATTTACTGACTGTATGTATCTAAGTATTTACCTACTTGAAATTTGGCAGGTGTTTATAATTCCGCTGGCCATGCATTATGGAATTGTTGAAGAAAAAAAAAACAAAATGGAGGATGGTGGACGAGTTCGATTCTATTCAAAATTGGTATCGGGGGGTTTTCGTGATCGGAGATTACGATTTTCCTATCAAAATTGAGAAATTGAAGATGGCGTCTCCAATATGGCGGACGAGTTTTGTGTTTATGGTCGGATTTGATTGAAAATTAGTATATAAGGGTTTTTTGGATCGGAGATCACGATACATCTGTCAAAATTACAAAATTCAAGATGGCGGATTCAATATAGTGGACGAGTTTCTAAATTATAATCCGATTATTCTATTAAAAATTGGTATCTGGTGGTTTTCCGGGTCGGATATTATGATTCTCTTGTCAAAATTGAAGATTTCGAGATGGCGGCTCCAATATGGCGGACGAGTTTCTCAATTATGATCCGAATACTCCGAAAAATCCGCGAATTCGTTTTTATTTTTCTCCTGACTTCATTTGAAGTGATATGATAAACTGAATTTCACATTACCATTGCCACTTTTTCTGTTCTGCTCAGATTTTTGATCTAACGTTTCGTATACGAGCAACCACCATGAACATTGTTTTTATAAATAGTCGTAAAAGTTAGTTTGGAACCTGAAGTACTCTAATTGTAATTCTAAATCCAACGACATTGCACTTCAAATTTATTCGACGTTTCGGACAAGAAAACCATCATCAGTATTATTTGATGATAGTTACGGAAAAACGAAACGTCGGATCGAAAATCTGATGACGGCATCTTGTAAAAAATGAACAATGGCGGAGAAAATATTGAATCTATTTAGGTCAAAAATTGAAACATTTATATACAGGGTGTCCGAAAATACGGTTCGAATAATTTGGGGTGTTTCTACATGACAAAAAAGACTAAAGAGTTTGTCAAACTTTTATGAATATATCATTAAAACGAATAAATATTCAATTTCATTCAATTTTTACTAGTTTCTGTGAATAGAAATACCCATTTTTATTTCCAGAAGAAGAATTTATTTCCAAAAAATTATGTACTTAATAAATCCCATCATGGCTAAATTTTTTCCTCATTTCAAGAAACAGCACTGCTGAATTTTAACGAAATCGACCAAAGCATATTAGTGATTTGAGATGTTTATAAAAACTATGCATTTCTGGACGCAGGTCCGGAAAAAAATCAATATTTTATCATGTAGAATCATCCCTGAATTTTGTCGAAAGTTATTTCCGGACACCCTGTATATTATTATTCAGCCTACCGGCTCACTTCTAGGAATTGCAAAAAATGCTCGGGTGTGGCTGAACCACAGGCTGAACCACGCCGACTGACGATTTTTTGAGTGACCCGTCTTCTCGTTCTTTGAACCCTAATAGGTATTACCAGTAATTATTATCAACGTTCTTTCGTTCGATTGATCTGTGAACTGGATGTATAAGAAGGGCGGTAGTTAGGTCACAGTGTTAGGTATAGGAGGGTATAGGACATGACAGGTATATCTAAATCACTTGAAATTTTCACAATGTCTGTTGATAATTATTATTTTTGAATCATTACGACCCCAAAACCAGCATTTTCAGCAGTTTCTGTCTTTCTAATTTTTTTATATCTACCATATAGGTACGTATCTACAAGCTAATTAAACTCACTTAGCAGCGAGCCTAGCAGCACATGAAATCTTTTTTTGAACCTGCTCATCCTCCGTATTTTTGTGTTCTCTGTAATAAAAGTCAATGAAGTAGGTACTTAACTAGTTAATATCGATATTGACAATGAAACATTTACCTTTTAAGATGCAAACCGCGTCGCGAATTCTTCACAAAGATTCGAGGCATTTTTCAAAAAATTCCAACACACTAAAATTGTTCTATTAAATATTCAAACCGTTATCCACTATATGATGATCACAAACACAAACAATGATAGGAGTAACTTTAACTATTCCGCGTGAAACAATATTATTTTGACGTTACGGGAACAATCACGGTCTCACTGACCACATATATAAATGAATGGCTCCCCCAAGATTCATTCCCCATCGGCGAATAGATAAAATACACTGAAAAAACAGCTCTACTCGAAGCCGCCATTCTGGATTAGGTAATATTTTTGAACTATATGGTTTTGTGGTTGATATTTATCATACTAGTGACCTTATCCAACTGGATGTGATGACGTAATCGAAGATTTTTTATATGAGAATGAGGGTTGTGTGATAGCTCATTTGCAGGATTATGCCATTCTATATTCAGTGTCAAAATAAACAATTCTCAAATGAAATCAATTTTTACAACAAGAACTAGGTATGAAATTCATTTAAAACATTTTATTCCCAGATAATTACCATTATTTGACATTTTTCAAGACAAGGATTCACCATTAGATATTCGTTTTCCAGTGCTCGCAGTGTCTTCGTGTCATTATGTGTCCATTCTTTTGCAAATACTTTACCATACTTTACAATTGTAATAATGTCAGTAAAAAGAAAAAAAATTTCGTTGTTTGACAAATAAAAAATTGCTATCCTCTCAAATTAAATGTTTAAATTGCCACCCGAGGAAGACATTTTTCTCGTATATTGTATGGATCATTTCTGGAGTTATATTACGAAATTCCAATCTAATTCTATTTCATAAATCTTGTTAATTTTGTGGTCTATCTATATATGTACAATTTTGATTGTCAGTAGAAAGAGAATTGAATAGACTTTCGAATAAGAACACTATTCTCATTTTAAAAAATCATCGATTACGTCATCAGGCGCAGATGGATAAGGTAACTACATGACAAAATCATAATCTGAAAATAAGAATCGACCTATTTTGAGATTTGTCTCCAGAGTTATTCTGATATTCTGGAATAAATTAATTTAATTAAAAATTAAATATTTTTTGGCCACCCTGTATGAATAATTATGTTACAGTTTATATCACTGAATAGAGAATTCAATAAGCTTTCGAATGAGCTATCACAAGTCCCCTATTATCATTTAAGAAAATATCGATTACGTCATCACGCCCAGATGGATAAGATCACTAGTATGATATATCAAACACAAAATCATAATTTGAAAATTGAGATCGGCTTGTTTCGAGATTTCTCTCCAAATTCGCCAATTCTTGAATAAATGAATTAATTCCATAATTCTGCCCCTCACTGTATGTGTATAGTGTCACCAGAATTATGAACACCTCAAGTCGATCGGACGACTAGAAATGTGTTAAATTTCACTTGCAAAATTTTGTCCGTATAGGAATAATTGGGAAAAAAATAATGAATAAATCTAGATAGAAATAACAGGTGGAGCTAAATAAGATCTTGTGATGAATTAATATAGGAAAAACTTATTTTTTACAAGTACCTGGTATTCGAACAATTATATAACAAGAACATATTTTGTTTCAGGACAATATTTACTTGGCTATATCTCAAATCACAATTTCTCCAGATACATATTTCTTTGAATGGAAGTTTTTTTCTGTGTGGAAAATAAAAATAATTGAATATACGCTCTCCCTGTCTTCCAAACATCCAGGTCGGTAATTAATTTTCAAATACATTTTCATTCATGAATATCACAGAAAACTGTGAGAATCGTCTATTAACTTCCAGAATATCCGTTTTATGTTTAATTCATAACGAGAATCTTTAATGTCGCAATTCTACGACGTTTTGGAGTTTTGGCAACACTTTATTCATTGGCTACGCGGGCTCTGCAGTCGGCACGATTTTGGTAGGGATTCAAGTAGAAAGCTGTACGGGCTATCTATGTTCTAGGAAAGGTTTCTGCAGAAATTACCGACCAGAAGTGTGTCGGGAGGGAGGGGTTGTGTAATTTTAGTTGCATAAATTAAGTAACACCCAGCGCACTAGCGCCATCTTACAGCTGAGAAACGCAAAATTGTTACCTTTACTTCTACCTTAATCGATGTAGACGAATGTGAAAATCAATTTGGTCAAAGGATTTTTGAAGCACCCTAAGCTGGTATAGTTATTTTTGTATCTAGAGCGCGAAATGCTACTTTGGTGATCGAGATCTGATTTTTTTAACGAGGCGTAGCCGAGTTGGAAAAATAGTCGAGATGACCAAAGTATTTCGCGCTCGAGTTGCAAACAAAATTTTTTCTACAAACGTAAAAATATATAGTTCTGAAGTAAAAATATCCTTAGCTTGATATAAAAAATAGTGTTTAACCGGCTTGAAAGGTCTCCCCCTATCCACCCTAGGTACGCACGATGTTCCACGAACATAATAGGAATTTCCTTTCGTGCGCTCCAAGAGAAAAAACAAAGTTATTGTTGAACATTCAGAAATAAATGATTTTGTGGATATCTGCTCGATTGAGGACCATAAAGTTGAAATATAAATATCTCATTTATTTTACATAACAATGCGCGAAGTAGGTACTTCGCGCACTGTTTTACTTCGCGCATTTTTTTGTGCAAGGAATCTTGGTAACGTAGGAAACTGAAAAAAAGTGTCACTTCGCAATTTGTTTCAATGCTCGAACCTTGTCATTTTTTGACGTTTGTAGAAAATAGTTATTTTCCTAACAAGTGCGCAGTGTTACTTTTCCGCACGCAAATGAGTGCGGAAAAGTACTACTTTGCGCACGCTCGTAGGAAAACGTTTTTTCTACGAATCCACGTTGATCATCGGATATAACATTTTCGATCTAATCATAGAGGAAACAATACAATGTGAAATATGGAAATCCTCCTAACATTTTTATCAAGAACTGTACAACAAATAATCTTGAAATACTATCTAATACTTAGTGGTAATAATAATTTGGTATGATAAACATTACCAATGATTCCAAGTATTAGTAGCATTCAAGTTTGATATACGATCAGAAAGGAAACCGCTCATAATCGACTTCCGGAAATCGAAGGATAAGTCATATCACATGTGTGCCAAATAAGATGACCAATTCAGAAAATATCGAAGTTTGATCGAAACGGGATCTGTTTCCTGTATGTACAGGGTGAGTCTAACATCCTGCCCTCGGCTCATGACAGGAAAAGTAAAACTGCAATTGGCAGAGGGAATTTGAATAGCTGTAGGTAGGTGTATTTTTTCGCATTTAAACCTTTTTCGAAATGGCGGGAATGGCATCGGAAAAATTATTTTTCTTACAAAGTTAAATTTTTTGTCTCATATTCTGAAAGAACATATTTTTCTGAAGAAGTTCTATCCGAAACGCTTTTTTTCTCTACCATCATTAGTTTCATAGCTATGGGACTCTAAAGGTGGCATTTTCAAATAAATCTCAACTGACCCCGCCGTTATAAAAAACTAGTCGGCCGGAAAACAAATTGTTTCATAAACAATATAAATTGAGATACATTTTACATTCATATTGAAACCGATTAAAACTAAAACCCGGCAGACTTGATTTTCATTACGTCGGGGTCAGTTGAGATTCATTTAAAAATAGCAACTTCAAAGTCCCATAACTTTCAACCAAATGATGATAGAAAACACTTTTTGGCTGGTAGTTTCGTTCAGAATATGTGAAAATATATGGTAACTTTGTGGAAAAATAATTTTCCTAACGTAATCTCCACAATTTTGAAAAGTGTTGAAAAATGTTTAATTACGAAAAAATATATCTGACACACATCTATTCAAATCCCCTTTGTCAAATTTGCATTTGCAGTTTTTCTTTTCATGTTATAACTGTTATGAGCCTAGGGCGGAAAGTTTTAATCACCCTGTACATGAGCAATTATTGTGATGCCATTTGGAATTAGCGGAATTAGGTTTAAAAATGTCTCAATATGTATAGTTATATTATATAAAATTATAACGTTTAGAAATAAAACAGTTCCTACCTACAAACTCTTAGAAGGTGCAAGAGTTCTTGATAACAACTAGATAAGTAACAAATGAAAATGTAATTGTTCCTACTACATCTTATGTAACTATTTAGCTAAGTATATTTCAAATAGGGCCGAAAATTTATATCGTACTTCCAAACGAACTCAAAGGCAAACCATACAGAAAAATCAAAAATAAAATATCTGACTCCTTTGGACTCGATTTTGACCCACTTCAAATGGACCGATTGATTTTGAAATTTGGCAGGTGTACCTAATTTTGGTGGCAATGCATCATAAAATTTTTGATTGACAAAAAACAAAAAGGCGACTCCAAAATGGCGGACGAATTTTGTAATTATATACCGATTCTATTCGAAATTGGTATCTGGGCGTTTTCGAAGTTGGAGATTATTATTCTTTCGTCAAAATTGGTAAAATCAAGATGGCGGATATAAATGCGGACAAGTTTTGTAATTATGAACCAAATCTTTTCAAAATTTGTATCTGGGGGTTTCGGGGTCGGAGATTATGATTCTCTCGTCAAAATTGAAATTGAAAAATCTAATACGGTGGACGAGTTTTGTAAGTATATGATCCAACTCAATTCAAAACTGGTATCTGGGGGTTTTCGAGTTCGGAGATTATGATGCTTCTGTCAAAATTAAATATGGCGGATACAATATGGCGGACGGGTTTTGAAATAATGATCCGATTCTATTAAAAATCAGTCAAAATTGGGTACTTACAAAAAATATAAGAACACTAAAAAATGCGCTTTTGTAGTTAGACGGACTAGAAAATAAATAGTAGTTTAAAAAACTGAACAAACGCCATTTTATAAATAACCAAACTAAAAAGAGGATGAAAATAAAATAATAGAAGTGTGTTGTGTGTACGAAAGCGTCTGGGGGTCACACTTTTAAAATAAATTTATTTTTTTTATTATAAAATCAGTATGATTTCTTGAGACGTTTAGTAAATCTCCATCAATGTCCATTTCCGTATTGAG